ATCGCCCACTGCACATGTTTGGTGTTCAATTGATGAACAAAGATTCACTGACTACTCTTTAAATATTTCCCTCCCTCTAACGTTTTCGTGAGGTTAAATGGAAGGGAACGCACTGCAGTGGATGACTTCTTTTCTTTATCACGTGAATAGTAATATTCATATTTACTACTGCATTTATACATTTCACAGTATATTATCACTATGTGTCATATCAAATAAAATTATCTGATATGAAATTATTCTTTACCACAGTGCTTAAATATAACTCTTCTATTAAATAATTACTTACGGAAAATAAAAACACTTGTCAACAGCTAGCAGTAAGTGCCTAAACATTTAATGGTATTTGGTGAATTTATTAGTTAATAATTGCAATTCGAAGGAGACTGTAACCAATAACAATTTTGGTAACGTCACTTAGGTGAAGAAATGTTTTGAGTAGATGCAGAACAAATGCATTAAAACTCTTGTATGAGGAAAGTGTGGTCATCAGAAGAAATTGAGATAAGGTCTTTAGAACGAGAGAGACCTCAAATGAAAAAAATACAATAAAATCCTATGACTATTTACAGATAAATCATGTTGACACTCACCAAATTTATAAAATAAAAAAATATTTACAGGCTACAAGGATTATAAAAAACGTGAGTGATCTCAAATGAACGGTTAAGATAATGTTTTCCATCATTAATTTATGAAAAATCTTTCAAAATAATACCGATTAAACCCTCAGTATGTATTTCACTTCAGATTGCTCTAGAAGTCTTTTATAATGAAATTTATCTATAAATTTAAAATGCCAATACATTAGAAGCTTTTGAGTTTCGAATTGTCCAAAACACACTAACAGAGTACATTTTGCAGAAGAAATGAAGTGAATAGAATTCAAAGTGACAAATCGAACTTTAAAAACACTGCTTATAAGGTCAAATTTTGTCACTGGAATTATTCACTTGAGTAATGATCTCATGTTCATATTTCTAAAGCCCAGGCCTATTATAGTTTTTTAGTTGATGAATCGCATTACTTTGCGAACAGAAAATTGAATGTTTTCTTTGTGTAAATTTATAAACAGTTTTGATGGAGACTAATAAGTGTAAGTTTACTCTCCTTTTGGTAAAATCCTTCAAATTTGCGCAGTATTTTCTATGATCAGCCTGCTCATTTCAGTGTGATTCCCACAAATTTTTGAAATGAGCAGCTGAATTTATTCCAGTTAACTTATTGTTCTAACAGTTAAGCCTGTTTCTCAGTGATACTTGATTTCTATTGTGCATCTTTTGAGTAGTATGCCACAACATGTTTAATTATAAAATGAAATATAATGGTATCGCGTATTCGTTTGCACTTGCATACTGGAAATCTTGTAATGTATATGTAATCTGTGTCCTGAGTTTGGCTACTTATCATTAATATTATTATGACCATGAATATAATGATGCAATAGCTATTTGAATAGTTCTTTTGGCTGTACACGATGCTGGCGAGTGCATGGAAGAAAATAACGTGTTACAAACCCACTTATGAATAGTAGAAGTGTATATACTTGTGATGTATTCAGCCATTGTACCATACATTCAGTGAGAGTTTAATTCTCTAGATGACGATTGTGGAATAATTTAGTATTCTCAAACATATCGGATTTCACTGTGTCATTTTGGCTAGACTAAAGAATTCCAAACCAGTTGAACTACCAATCAAATGGTATTGACAACAGCTAATCAAATTCGTCACGGCGTTACAAAGTGTTATTTGAGAGAAGTATTTCAAAGATAAAATAAACTAAATAATACTAAATAATTACACAGGGTGGCAATCTCTTAGATGTTCCAGAGATGACATTTTATCTTAATGATAGTAGTGTACAGTGTTGTGAATATAGCCAAATGGCCACAATCCTTGTAAATATCTGTTTGATGTATAACAGAAACTGAATTATTCAGATAAATATACTTGCACTGCTGTAGGGGAGTACCTTCGAAAATCTTTTTCCTGGCGTTGTATCACATAATCCCAGTTCACATATCTAATTGTATTGCTGTCTTCCATAGCTGTAACTCCTCTTTGTGAGAAACTTATATTTAGTCGAACATTTACATCAGCACCATCCAGTAAACTGAGTGTTTTGGATGCGACGTCTTGACAAGGCTGATATCATTTCACTGCAGATACGTTGGTGACATTTGTCTTACCAGCGGTTGATGTTACTGGTCGCTTCACAGGCAAATTGTGACACATAATCATCATTGTAGTTAAGCACAATTTTGACTCCATGGAAAATTTTAAACCGTGAGGGAACCAATAAAATGAATGACACATCTTGCCGTATGGAGTTTGCACGACGACAACCAAGACATCTGTATCTAAAACAGTCAGTGGCGTCTGCATATCTTTGTAAGGCTGTTATTCTTCTACACTTTTATGCTTTTGTCTTCCAAAAAGCTTTTTTCCAAACAGTACTGAAGTACAAGAAGCAATGCGATCCATACCCATTGTCTACGTTTGAGCCTTTTACCACTGAAGCTTACCTAATTGACTATTCAAAGTCACTTAGTTAGTCGTTCACTACCCTTCTCGAAGATGTGGAATGCTTGATGACAATATGGATGTGTGCGCTTTACTCTGAATTCAATCGACGATCAAACAGTTTGAAACAAGTTCGACGTACTGCATTAATTGTTGAAATTATAACTATTTTCATGAAGCTTAAGTCTGAGGAAACACAATACGCATATTATACCAGTCTGTTTTACTAGCATGAATGACATACAAAAGCGGAATCAGTATAAAAGCAAGAAGTCTAGTGCAATGAACTATTGAACGCTCATTATTGTTCACAGTGAGAGCATGCATAACCAAGAACATCGAACATGAAATCAATGTAATGGACGTGAATTCGTAATTACATACACTCCTTTGACAGACGTTAGTCTATCCTATTCAGTTTCGTTTCTGAAAATAAAATAAGGTATTTGCAGTGTCATTTTGAAATACATACGTTTTGTGGACTCTGTTCCACAAACCCTGTATACAATATGTGAACTAACATTGATTTTTGCGAAAGAATTATGTAGAGCGAAATCAGCTTTATCACACTCCTTGTAAATGAATAAAATGCTGGAATTGAACTATTTGTAGGTAAAGAAGAAAGTAAGCATTGAACAAGTTGAAAATCTATGTAATACTTTTCAAATTATTAAAATTATCTTTTAGATAATCCATTCAGTTTTTCGCACACTCAACTTACGGCATCACTAAATGGTTCATTTTTAGTATATGTTTATAGTGACGTAGCTAATTCTTTTATTGACTTCGTGACAAAATCTCCCTTGAAAACTACCTGCACCTCACTAACCAAGTCTAGTTCTACTGTCCATCAAAGAATGGCCTTCATACAAGCATCAAGAAGTCCTTATGAGAAAACGGAGTCGACTGGATCCATTAAGTTGAATGTGGCAACAGATACTGCCCGACAATGTCGCGACATAATAAAATCAAATTTTACAGGCAAAATATTTCGATGAACACAAAAAATTTGAAGTTAGGCTGATGATATCTCTGTCGACTTCAACTATCAAAGTAACACTGTTTCCGGAAATGTACCATATAAACGACATATTGGGAGATAAGTAACAACAGCAGTAATGCGATGGTGAGCGTTCAGAAATAGCAATCAAACTATGCTTTGCCATTTACACCTATCAAGAACCAGTAGGATTACTTTCCATACGAAATTTGAAAAGATTTTTACGAATGCTGACCATCAGACTTCTAAATACATAAAGCCTTTTCTGTCATCATATATTATGAGAGATATCGACGAAACACATAAATATTAGCCAATTTAGCGAAAATATACTGAAAACGTGGTAATGGGATTTTATAGACAGGTTTTTTTCTAACTTTCTATTCATTAGTTAACAGTAATTGAAATATTCCACGCTTACATTTTTGACATCTGCAGGATTAAATGCAGAGAGTAGGTTTTTCCAGTAATCCTTTTATAATTTCAAAAATCAATAGTAATTGTGGCAATGATAACAATGACATAAATGATAATAATTATGTTAATATTTCTCAATTGTGAAATTTTTTAACCCTACAAATATTTAAATTATTGATGGGATCAAATTTGGATGGTGCATAAGCGAGTTGATACTTCACCCATAGTTTGCATACATGCTAACAACAGCGGGTTATTTATCCAAATGGTGATTATGGTCTTCTACAGTACAATCCATTCGATTATTAGCTAAGGATAATATTCCAACTGTACTCATTTTTATCACAGCTATGGGCGGTAAGTGGTATTTTATAAATAACTAAAGGAATTTGAAATTCAGAATGTTTGTAACACAATTATGCATACGTAGGTGTATTTTCAGGTAACTTGAAAAGCGCATAGCATAGTTATTACAATGGATGTGTAGTGGTAGTTCCCCACGTTCTGTTTAGATCTCAGGAGACAAAAATATCAATAACAAATAAAAGATGCGTCTCCTGGTACTTTACTAATGTCATGGTATATCACTCAGCGTCTCATTTTGAAATAAACTGTGGCAGGTGTCTTGTAGTTGTCCTTTGGAAAAGGATTAAACACTTATATGGGAGCAGAATAATAATTCAATCAGGCTGAAAACATCACCTCAGTGGTTCCAAGCTCATAGAATTGACTTCTTAAAGTAACAGCTGACGATGACAGTATTTCTGCATTATAATTCATGAATTTGTCGTCATACACTGTGTAACTAATTAATAAAATAGCGATATTTTGAGAGAAGGAAAACGAAAACTCAGTTAGGTAAAATTGGCTGATGCCCGAACAAAACGTCTCTTAAAATAGCATTATCACTGTTAATGATTTACTGTTTTTGCAAACAGTGGTTGTTTGAATAATATTAAGGCATTTGTAATTTGGTTTCTGTATATTCTAAGTGAATATGTTGTTGACAAACCCTAATTACTAGAATTGTATTTTAATTTTTGCGTTTTATATGTAGAATTGAACGGTAAGTTTTCCACTTAACAAATATATTCATCTCCATTTGCATTAGAAGATAGAATAGTTTGGTAGATAGGATTTTGCATTATGACGATTAAAGTAGGAAGCTACAGTGCACTTCAGAAGCAATAGTGCTTAAAATGGACCTTGATACATCATTTGAAAATCCATTTCCATGATTTTGCTGTAAACAATTGGCTGTATTTGTTTGCACTTCATACAAAAAAATGGGGGAGATTTATATTTAACAATGAAGATTCTAATTGTGAGAATTATGGATCACTGTTTATGGCGATCGAAAGAAATACTGACGAAATCCTTTAGATACGATTTGTGTCTCACCGTTTCCTGAAATTGCAACAGATGAATGAATTATGAATTATTATTTTACGATTGAATTGAGATAAGAGTAGACAAGGAGCAAGTAAGAGACGCCTGTGGAAGATGCGTCCCGAATAACTAAATTTCCAGCAATGCATTTAATTTGATTATATATTTTGCATTTGCCAAAGGCAACAGCTAGGGTGGACACAATAGCAGTTTATTGTGGGAAACAAAGGAAATATTAGTGAGTGAAACGTATGCTGAGTGAATTAGTGATCTTGGGGTTACCACTCAGATAAAGTAGATGACTGCTAGTATTTTGTAAATAGAATTTCTTTTCACCTGTGGAAAGCTGTTCAAGTTAAAAATCACTCTTGAATTTGTCAATCTCAGGTTTGAAATGTTTATTGTAAAATATCTCTGCAAACGAAAATGATTTTTGAATTCACAGGAGTCTGTTAAACTTTACAATGTGAATTTTCGTCTATTTGTGAATAATAGCGAAAGTCGGTAAGTAACCATAATATTAGCTTCCACTTTTACTCACAACTGCGATGAGTAGTTCTATTTTTCAGAAATATTTGTTGTCTGAATATTTTTCTCTACTCATTAACGAGAAGAGTGTGTGTTGTTATACTGACTTTGTGTCTTGATGGCGAAAATTGCTTTACATTAAGACGGCCATTTCAAATTTCAGTCTTTAGGAATTTCGTTGTCAGAAGATTTCTTCGAATACATGATGACAAGAATACAGACATTAAATTTTCCCCTGTCATCAGTGACATCATCTTGTTAACACGAAACGTTTCCCTTTTTCTTCTGTATATATGTATATATAAATGATTTATCTTCCGGTTATTCACATGGTAGTTGTGCTCATTCAAATTTTGCTTCCATTTGAAGAAAAATTTAGTAAGTCTCCGTCATAATAAAATATTTTTGTCTGTTTAGTGGAATTCATATAATCTCGTTAACGGTCAGTTGACAGTGCGGTGTCTTATGGATAACAGAAACATAAGTTGCATGAAGTTTGTCTCCCAGAAATTCATTGGTCAGAAATCCCCCACACCAATTCCAAATAAAATCTTATGACGGAGATTTGGAGCAAATGTGGATCCATGATTCCATAAGTTTCATGAATACTCCTCATTTATGTGCTCTACATTCATGGTTATACATTAGATGATATTACGGAGGAAAAACTCACTTAAAGCCATTTCCTATTTTTACTTTTCCGGTTTTATCAGTCTATCTGTAATTCTTCTATCCTCTTTTAATACCCTGTAATACTCTGTGGTATGCATAATGAATCAGATTGAGTACTAAAGTGGGAAAACTTTGGCATACTGAGTAATTTTTTACAATCTTCGTTCCTCGATTCAAAATGTGGTCAACGAATCCCAACTTCCTGCTTCCAAATGAAGTTCCTTTCCACGGCTTAGCGCGTGATTTCACTCAAACGTCTCCTCAGTGTGAGTGCCATTCCTGTTACTCTGCTTCTGCATATTTTTTGAGTGATTAATCCTTAATTGATTCACTGTTACACTTCCTATTTGCCTAACCCTTCGCGTCAGCCGTCTGATCTTCAATATGAAGCCAATGAAACTGTTGTTAAACGTCTACATTATCCAACTGCAGATGCTTTCGATGATGCCAACACCAAGTCTCTGAACTATTTGGAAGCTCTCATTAGAAATAATAGGTGAACATCAGGACGATGGTACTTATGCTGTGTCCAGTAGACTTCCACACTGATTTGTTAGTAGTGAATTTTTGTCTTGCTTTTCTGATCGGTTCTTTGATAAAGATATCCATTCCACATGCATTTCATAGGATGCTATCTGGATAAGCGAAACAGTCAAGTTCCTTCAAAATTCTCGAGATGCTAGTAATTGTTGCTTATTGGTTCCCCTTACTTATCTTAATCAGAATGCGAAGTTCAGATATTCAAGGGTTTTCTTGCAGTTTAAATTGTGCGCGTGTATTTGCATTCAATTTTCTGTCTCATGACCCAAACTACCACAACTGATGAGATCAATAGTGATTATATGCATCCATGTGGTTCTTCTGTCTTTGATTCAAAGGCCAGGATAGCTTATCTAGGCCGTCGTGTATCAACTGGGAAGTGTCCTTATCATTTGACACTATTAAAGGTTTTTACAACTCTGTAGTGTTAAGACAGTTTCTAAATTACTTCATGGTCAATTCTCTTGAAAGGCTCTTCAGAATTAGTTAAGTCACGGTAAAAGCTTGACTTCCATTATTTAGTCTGCTCGATAACGACTATAGTTTTGATTTGATTCTCACATGATTTGCATTTTCCCAAGTCCACTTTGTTTTAGCCAGAGCTTTGGACACAGAGCAGCCACTGAACTTCGCTGCAACCAGTGAAAGAAGCAAAGCAGATAATCATAAAATAATTAATGGCCTTCAGCACTTCTACTTCCATTGGAGGGTGGCTGCTGTCTAGCAGTTCTTTGTAATCAAGGGATATTTCAGGAGGAATAGTAGGTGGTAGTTGATTTGAGAGTTTTTCAGGTGATCAGATTAGAAACTTCTCCTTTCCAACTGTCTTCTGCCTAGGCTCCATTCACTATCCTCCACTGATCTCATCTGCACTGATTATTGGCCTGGTTATTTGTTACAGTGTCCTGAGTTCTTCCTCAGTTTCAGTTGCAGATGAGTTTTAAAAATTTCGTGCCATACTACGACACTTTATTGTTAATTTATTCATTAATAATTAACAATTGTTAAATTATCTGTGACTTCGGCTCATACCTTACCGTATTGACACAGGTATTTTACTTGTATTATTCAGCACACTACTGTCACTGACATCAACATTAACAATGACAACATATCCAACAAAATTAGGTCTTATTATCGTGCTCTCAAAATGTTCACATACATACGCATATCTATTTACTATCTTCTTGCGATTCAAACTCCCACCACTCGACAAAACTGTTGATGGAATATATCATGTGTGATTGCATAAATATGTACATGAGGCCTTATTAGAAAGTGAATATTCATAAAGATTCATTGAAAAAAATAAGGAAGGAACCTTCATCGCTGAAGGCTGTAATTATTTTGAAGCAAACTCTATATCAAAACAGAAATACTTGAAAACCTTTCCAGGAGGTTGGAGAGAAAATTTCAAGACAACAGCTTACAAATCACCATTTCCAGAAGATGTTAATTGATTCATGTGTAATAGACAAGATACCACTTTTGGTCACCTCCTTGTGTATTTATGAATCTAACTGTTTTCGTGAGGTGAGGTGTATCTGCAAGAATTTTCACCGAAGTTCAGACATGGCTGTGCTTTCAAAAAGCCTATGTATTTTTCGAATGAAGAGAAATAAGAGTCCTTTCTTTCTATGAAAGTACAGTTTCAGTAAAAGACAAAAGTTCAGGCTGTCAGTATTTATTGTCATCTCTACTTTGAATTCAGTTTTCCGCAACTTGAACAAAGCAAATCTTCTATTTGTTTCAATACAGAAAAAAGTCGTGAGTTTAGGACTAATAATGCTTCACTGATTAAGGTGAAGATAACGTATTTATACTTATATATTAACGGTTCCACAATAAGTTTCGAATTACTTCGAGTATATCTAAGAAAATATCATCCGGTGAATTTCGGTCCACACTTGCATATAATCATGTGCACGACTGCGGATATCGACATAGTGAGTTGAGGACGAACGTGACTCCTGAAGGAATCAAAATCTAGGACATTTACAATTTTCAGTCAGACCGTCTTAAATTGTTATTTTAAATTTTATTATATATCCTGATTTCGGACATTTGATGTTGTTTCTTCAGAAACCTCTAACATTTAGCATAGCAGATCAGAAAGATGTACAGATTAGTATTCTTTCAACAGGAGGATAGTAGGGAAAAACAGAAATGCATGAAAATTTCTACCATATCAGAGTTCATTGTATGAATTGCATATAACTACCTAAAATGAAAATAAGATTATTGATGGTCCACAAATTGAATTTTGCTACTTCTACAAAAATATCCAAGCTCTGTAATAAGTTAATTTCAAATTTATTATAAGCTATGAATTCCAGTGTTGTCTTTCATGACACACCTGGACGCATCAAAAATCATGTTCTTTGATCATGTTAAAAATCGCTTCACCTGATTGACATCGTGTTGAGAGCCATGGTCTGATATTTTGTCTGTTTGTTCAGTCAGATTAATTTCATTGAACTAAATGCTCAGCCATGATTGCTTTTCTTTTTTAGGTGAATGTAAGTGGATATTTTTTTCATCAGATTTTTTGGTCAGCAATATTATCACTTTATGGATTTCCGCAACGATTCACAAACAACATTTGTTCAAAGCAAACAAAGCAACTGAAGTGCTGGCATTGAAACTCAGAAATAGCTAAAACGTTCTTCGCTGCGAAAGTATGACTTAATTTCAGCACTACTCGTGAAATTCAAATGCAGGTGATAGAAGGAACATCAAGTTAGGTGGCTTAGGTGTATATCTGCAAGTATAACTCTTCTTGTTGCGACAGTCAAGATTTTTTGATGATTTATGAAGAGATGACGGGAACTCTATTGCACAAAAATTAGAGTTTTCATTTAACATTTGTTGCACTACTTCAAAATACAGTGCCTAAATGTATGACTCAACTAGAATTCATTTCCGTACTGATTTAGATCGTGGTGAGTTTTGATTTTATCATATAAAATGTCTTTTAAAAGCTAAATGTGTGGGTCTACTTACATTCTCATTTGAAACCTAATGTTCTTACTGACAGTCTGAACAGTTCACTTTAGGTCTAGAACCTAAAAGGGCCCTAAATAAGCTTATGGATGATATCTACTTGAAATCCTGGAATAACATTCGTAAACAGAGTATCTAATCGTGAAATCATTCATTGATTAATGAACGACATGTATTGCTCACTCACTGGTGCTTTCACAACTGTTTGATTCTCAGCGAATGTTGACGCACGTTCAGTGAAAATAATGTCAACACACGAAAGTAAGAGAATTATACATCTACCAACTGACAGAGTACTTTATTCAGCGATTAGTGCCCAACGTTATATAATAATATGAGAGCGTACGTCCATAAATCTTGTCAAATTTAGCCGCTAGGCCCTCAAAGAACCTCACCTTCAAGAAAGTGTTTATCATTTATTTAAGTTGTTTTAATTCGCATAACGTCTCGGTACTCGTTGCACATAGTCACAGATTCCCACTGACAAATATCCCTTCTTTCGTATAAGATTAGTGACAATGAAGTGGATATTTATTTGCTAATTGTTGAATAATACGCGAAATCTTACTTCAAGTTTCTTCATAATAAATTTACACTTATTCATTTATTGTTATTCAGCGCTGTTTGGTAAGCCATTCTAACAGTCATTCTGCTTACTACACATAACCTTTTTCATAATGAAGAAAATGAATAGGCAGGCATCACTAGAATTTCTAGAGGTTTATAAATAGGAGGCATTAAGTCATTGTTATGGTAATAATTAGCTTAATTCCAGTGAAATATAACCTTATTCCAAAAAGCATCTAAAACTTTTACCTCTATTATCTTATTGCAATCGATCGTACAACCTGTTTTGCTATTGTGGTGAAATCTATCCATAATTTGCAGTTGTAAATTATTTTCTTAGGCAATCTTTGTTGAACTAAAACCTCTAAGCAGAATTATTTTTTTGATACTAAGAAGTAGCAAAAGTCATCTTTATGTTTATCTCATCCTTGATCACCATTCACAGAACTTCATCTCAGTTGATATGTTGACATTCTGCTTTGTCTATAATAACTGACGTCTTTTGGATAAACTTCCCTTGGTACACATGTTTCGCTTATATTTCACTCTCGCTCCGGTCTTGTTTAGTTCGAACCACTCTTTCATAATTTTGTTCATTCAAGCCTAGTTGATTTCTGAAAGTGGATCGTTTTTGACGCAGCTCTAGTATTGCATTTTGATGAACTATGACAGTGCTTTTGACGTCACCTTGCCTAAGCACCTGATTAACTGACGTTAGTGATCTAATCAAATCAAGACGGTGACATTCAGCTTCTCCTGTCTCCATTATTATTTCGTTACAGTTCACTATGTGACCATTTCAATTTGTGTCTGTTATTTTTCACCCCTCGGAGTAGTGTTCAGCATAAACCTTTTGCGGCGTTCATATCCCTCCCTCATACACCAGGGAATATTACTCATCTCTTCAATCTGACATTTTTGTTGATTATAATTAATCAATTTGGTCATCTAGTTGTTTACTCTCATGTTATCTGATGTTCTCATTGATAGTAAATTCCGCATGTATTTGAATAACAGTCAAAATTGACAGAGTATTATTCCGTCTTCGAATTACACTTCAGTATATACATATAGATATACGCGATTTAAACTCGATTGATCAGGCAGATTTACACCTAAAATTAATGGACTTCTTTCTGTGTGTTCTGAAGAAGAATTCATTGAAAGCAGTTGTTTGCTGTAGTTATTCTTCTTTTGAGAAACTCCTGCGTTCTTCATCCAACACGTAACTCGAGTGCTCGGTTGATTCCATTGAAAATGCATGTGGTGATGATGCTTAGAAGAAATCTACACTACCTCCTGTCATAAAATCAGATGTTTGTATTTCTTTTGAATACGAACGTAAAAAAAAGTTATTGAAAATGGTATTCTATATCCATCTAAGCATGGGATATTTTGGTATTAACAAAACCAACATTCCTTTCGATTAGTATTATCTTGTTAGTGGCAAAGGCATGCTCAATATTTTCCTTGTTATGCAATAAGGATTTATTCGCATTTTCACCTTTTAATTCTAAAATTAGAGAAAGCCAGTAAGTTGACGTATAACTATATTACATGCTCATACAAAACAGTTTACAGTGCCTGGTATATACAGAATATTAAAAGTTTGACGAATTATTTGTGTCGTTTCAACAGTAAGATTAACATTTTTTTTGATATCCTGGAATTACAGCAACGATGAAGGATCTTCTTCACCATAGGAGTCAGATTTACTTGAAACTCAGTATTAATTATAGATGAACGTCAAAATTAAGCACAGTTTGCGTGTTTGCATTTACCTTATTCTCTACTGAAATATAAATATTGAATATCCTGATATGAATAGCGCCGCCATGTTAACTTCTCTTTCGGTTATCCAATTTCCCACTTGTTATGTATAAGATATGCATATCTGAAATACAGCAGTCAACGTTTTCAACGGTATAAGCAGTGTAAAGTGGTGTTCTAGGAGTTGGTAGGCTGTTCCCACAGTCGACTACTTAGGAGATGCAGCTTGCCTCGGGGATATTTTAAGGTTCAAATAATACAAATTAAATTTATCCAGGTATTTCTATTTCCAGGTATTAAATACAAAATTATTTGACTGGAACGCTGTATTGTGAAACACAGATTTGTTTGAATGACAGGAAGGAAAGATGGAATGAAAACCCACAGTAGAAATACTGTTTAGTCCTGCCACATTATTATACTGAATTAATCAAGCAAACACTTCGGTGAAATCTATTTGTGTCTAGATATTCGGAAATATCTGTGAAACTATTTAATCATATCCAAAACAGTATCCCCCAACATTTGTTGATATGTTCATTTCTTTTGATTAACTTTCAACTATTGTGTGAGTGCAACTCTTTCATCACTGCACAAAATCTAGGAATTCGCTTACTGAAAGTTCTAATAATTATTGTTTCAATGTAGAAAAGGGTGAGTTATATTTCGATTACAAATGCAATATCATATAGGGATTCATCATATTTTGAAGTTTGTCTTCAGCTAAGTACCACTTTCACTATTTAACGCAATGAGTTGTAATACAGTTTTAATGAACATTAGTCCACTGATAATAATCACTTCAACAGTATTGACTGGTGTGACAATATCATGGTGAAGATATCTTGAGGCCTCACAAATACAAAGATATGCGTATGTTGCTGTGAACGTTCTTTCACGAGAAAATACAATGATTTGAATTTGTGAAATTTTGCTCATGTCAGAACAATTTATTGTTGTATAAATTTGAATAATGTGCCTACGTTTCGTTCACTTAAAGAATTAGGTGAGCCTTTTTATGGTTTAACATTCAGTCGACTATTATGAGTAATTCTTATGTTATTAAGATTATGTTTTTACTTAATGTTTTGCATCGTCCATCACTTTCTGACTTAGGCGCCATCTTCACTTAATAATGTCTTATTGTTTTGTTATATACAATTCATGGTAATAGGGACGAATTTCACCGTCTGTAATGAATAATACTGAATTCTTGTTCTGTTTCAACAACTATGATAGGCTTGATACTCAAGCAAAAGTCCAGGTCTCATTTAATCAGTCGATGTGCATACTAAAAGATAAATATACATTCCTAAAAACTCGTTGAGAAGAACTGACTCTCTGTTTGTAAACAGTGGATATTACATTAACTCAACACTTGTGAAATAGAGAATGTGAATATGAAAGCCAACAAATCGCATGTTCCTTGATCCTTCGATAAGGCTTCTTTCACATATTGCTTTCACAGTCATGTGGTTCACGTCATCCACCACTAAATCGTGCTGTCATTATATAATAGAATCTTACTAACAATAGGTCATCGGTTATCTGATATGTGATTTGCAATGTGATGCATTTAGGTTTTTCTTTATGTACAACAATATCATGCTAACGGTTAAAAAAGTGCGTCTTGTCAAAGAATGAGGTGTAACTTCATGTATGTTACCTGCTTATTTCTTGAACATATCACCATACCTTTATTAACACAGAAAAGCCAACAACGATTCTGTTTTATACGGTACTCAAAATTTCTCTTCACCTGTTTCTAGCGTGTGTCATAGAAATAATTTTATATGAATGGTTGTGCATTGCCTTTTCACTTTTGCTAACAGTCTTTGATCTATGCATGTATATTTCTCTCTTTGAAATAACGATTCATCCTTTAAACAGAGGATTGTTTGAGTAAGTCGTGTGGTCTTTCTAAGCATCTAGCTTCTAGCTGCTTGTCACTAACCATCTTATAATATTTCAAACTGCCAGGCACTACAAAGTTGTTTAATTAGGTAACCACACTGAAGGATCCTCAATGACAGCATTGAGCACTTCACATATGAAACTATTCATACTCGCTGTAACGAATCATTGTAAAAAATGAGTGGCATTATCAATTGGCTTTAAAAATTTCCTATCATCAAATAACGATTATTATATTATGGGAGGAATGATCTGTTACTTTTATGCATCTCAATATCTCATCACCATACAAACCATTTTGCATATTGTTTACTAGCACGTGGTCTAGGAGGTGACAGAATTGATGCCTTCCTGACACGAAGCGCCTTACTGTCACAATTCCACTACAATCGTGGCATAACTTATTTGAGAATAAAACCGTTACAGATGCTTTCTGCATTTCAATGTGAATCACTCAGTATTTCTTAAGAGCTCATTTGTGGTTGTCAAGGTTTTCGTCACTTAAATTATGTTTTACCACTATGTATAGACAAAGTCGTTTGTTTAGATTCAGGCGAACAGGTTCAAAGATCTTATTTTTATAAGGGGATAGCAAACACTGATGAGACTGTGTTATACATATTCAGCAAGTTTTTGTGTGAATTGATTATATTGAAGTCTCAGTTGTGGAACAGGTTGAAAGTACAGGAAATATATCCCCTACTCAAATAAAAAAGGATTTTACTGTAGTCTGGTTGAGATGATGAGATAGAAACGTCCCTGTGCTCAGAGTAATTCTTCAGGCTACCAGCGAAAGCAGTTTATTTTTATCCAGACCATCAATATGTTGGCTTTACAAATTGTTTCCATTCTTGGTGTTATTTCCATTGTAATGAATTATTATCGCGAACATTAAAATGTAGGAAGACTACAAAATACACACATGGATGAGACTGGTATTGTTAAAAGGTGTGAGTGTTGACTAATAATGGAAAGTTGCATGAAGTGGGTAGAGAATATAGTAAGAATATCATAGAATATTGTGCTTTTTATGCCATCTAACTACGGGATTCCTCAAATACGCGAACACTTGCAGGTATAAGTATAAGTATAAGGTATTATTAAGTATAAATATAGTAAACTCGAAATGCTTTTCGTCTCTTAACAGGTAACCCAGAAGTAAGATGCTTTTTATTAGTAATGGACTGCGTGCGAAGTGTTTCTTCAAAACTGTACAAAACATGGCATACACCGATGAATAATAATTCACTAAAAGGTTGTTTGGAGAGTCTCTGGAGAACCTGAGTCACCTGAAAGTTAGGCAATGTTCAAAAACGAAGTTTCTTGAATTATATGGAATAAAAAATGGACATATGAAATGTCGTATCTTTTAGTGAAGGATAACTATGTACCTGTTGGTGAATTTAGGAAATCCAACTCAATTACTTCAGGACATTTCATTACGGTATCAAATCAAACTGAGGCACCTCATTCAAGTGGCATACACACCACATATCAGACGTCATATCTTTCCCAGTAGTCGAGACCTTATAGTCATTCGCACTATTTACATTTTCAAATTCAATTTCAGTTACTTACAGATGTTCATATGCGTTGAATTCCTAGCTCGTGTTTTTGCTAAACACTATAAGATGAAGAAAATCAAAACGCTAGAAATAATTGTACCGCTTTTCTCAGTAGTATTCATAAACTGACTTTGACCTAATCTGGGCTACGTCTTCGCTACACTTGTAAATATGTGCCAATTGGCGAATGAAATGAAACCATACTTAACTATGAAGTGAAGAATGGTTCACTTAATCATTGTTCCCCTGCTCAGATCGTCTTGTGGAAATTAAGGCAGAATGTCACTTTTTGAAACACATTTTGGCCAAGCATAAGTGAAGCATTTAATCGGTTGGTCATAAGCGTATCTTTGGATTTGAAACTGGAAATGTACTTCATTTCACTTATATGATTTGATAATTTCCAATCAGGAAAGAGTAATGGTTGCGATGTCAACAGAAACCTCAGTCAGCATTATGAGTTCGGTTTGAAATTGGAAAACATCAGCTTCTTAGAAGTGATGATATACATGGTTATAATGGAAATAATTCTGCTGAAGAAGCAGTGCTTTACACAGCGAGATTTTCAGAAAAAACTTGTTTTGATTAATATTTTTGCAACACTCAGGGATTGTTTTAAGACATTAATTAATATTAGTATGCACTGTATCATTAATCAACTTTCCTACAAATTTGTATTTATCATTATTCTGTATAGCCATACAGAAGATGGGTAGGTATTTGATGTAACTTTAATATTGATTTAAACTGATAACAATCCTTCCATTTCACTGAGTGACTGTTCGCGAAATCTGTGAAACTGATACACGTGTGAAACATTTATTGGAAGGGGATCTACAGTATGATCCACTTCTTACCATGGTCTATTCAATCACATTCTTTTTTGTCCAGCTATCATGTGATTACTCGTATTTGTCTTAAAAATGAAGAATTTTACAGTTTTGAAAATTGAATAGGTAAATGGTTTCCAGTAATGTGCTTACAGTAGTAGAAACTGCCAGTTTAGTTGATACCATTAACTATTAAGGAGACCATAAATATCGCATCACGAAAGAAAATATGAAAAAATACTTTCAAACATCGTTTCACCTTGGTTTAATAACGTCAGATGCAAATGTACATTCCTTAGCAAGCCTATCTGTTATACAGACCTCAGTTGTGAGAAAAGAAATGCCATTTTCCCGTGAAAAGGAGAAACAACTGGAAAGGAAGTTAAAGCATGAGTAAAAATTGGAATATTTTCTTTACAGAACGCTCAGTAAGTCTCCATCGAAATCCTTATAAACTTTTATATTATTGTGTACACCAGAAAGTCTCGGTGACAACAACTTTCAAATTATTCATTTCTCGCTTCGTGGTGTGTATTCAACCTTGAAGTTAATTCGTAGATGGTGATTAGCAGTGGAATTGAGGATGCGCATTTCATCCTATTTGGGACTCGCCACCTGGATATATCTGCATTCCGCAGTGAGTGATGATGTTCTCACTGAGTTCCGATCCCAGTGCCCATAGTTTCAAACGCCAAAGCATTATCCACTCGACCGCTTTGTCCATGATAGCCACCAATTGACCTCTAATCACATGCTCAGACATCGGCGAAGCATCTGTACAAGAAGCCAAGATGTCACTCTGAGGCCGAGTACTTCGTTTCAATCAATCGACGGGAAAATCTAAAATTAAAATAAATAATCCTAGTAATAATTGGGACACTAAATAATTTGACCGGAGAGATTTTCTTGGAAATACTAAGAATATCGAATTTGTGGTCTCCATCATTCGAGGCACTTTATGAATAGAGATCCCACAATTTTAGTTCTATACAAATTCCAATCAGACAATAAGCAGTTTGCTCAATATATTTGATGAGTGAGGAGTTACATTTGAGTTTTGATTTCCAGCAATATTTTTGCGCGATTCTGTATTGATTATCATTCATTGCATTCATCAAGAATGAATCGAAATGACCAAGTGGAACATCTTCGTGTTACTCGATTTCGTACTGTTACTGAATACTGGATATGTACTTTCTATTGAAAATATCCCAAATGACCCGATTATCATCAAGCCATTTTAGGGAAAATGGTGCCGTATGCATGTTTAATACACAATTTTAGTTTTCATATTCTACTTTTGAATCTACTGCTATTTTCGCATTCATGAATCTTTCATGAGTAAGTGCGGAATATCAGAGAAACAGCTCAATTTGACTTGGAAACTACTCCAAAACTCTGGAGTATCTCAAATTTTTGTCAACTTAATTTAAGAATTATGTGACGATGTCATCTGTCAGGTGATCCAAAACGGAAAACACAGCGAAGCGTTTGCAGTGAGGACAGGAGTGGGACACGTCTGTCTGCTATAGGCGAGGACATTCGCAGTTTATACAGCAGAGTGTGTGATGTAGGAAGAAAGGCATACTTTGGGTCAGGTACAGAGACTCTAGAGGATGTGAGCCTCGCGTAGGACTTATCTCTAATATCACGCTAACTCGAAGACCTAAAGGTAAGTACCAATAAGTTGGCTTGATAGGATGGTAGCGAAGACGTGAATTTAGGTAAACGTGGAGAGAAAAGAGATAATGAACACACTCAACCAACAACATGCAGCATTAGTCAATGTCAACAGGAAGAATTTGAAGAAGTCACTTGTTTCACATACATTAGCAGCACTGTTTCAGTAACAGGTAGAAGCATGTGTGAGGACATTGAAACCAAAGTCTAACAGGCAAGACAGACCTCCATCAGTCTGAAATCAGTTTGAAAATCTTTCGCGCTCAGTGAAAAGAGTAAAATTCAGATTTTAGACACCAGTGCGCAGTCTATTAGTGTTCGCTTAAAGAAAATCATTTCTAACAGAGTACTCTTTGGCTACATACTGAAGATGACAGTTGAATCACACCGCGGCCCAGGCCATTTCATAGGAGAAATTTGAATGAGAAAAGACGAGTCGAGCCCTGGTCAAATGGAGATATTGAGAAAGCACTAAGAGAAGATGAGAGATCATGGTCAGTTGTGGCGCCAGCTAAACGAGAGTTCCAGAGAAGAGAAAAAATGGAGATGTGTGGCTGAAACCGTATATTTCACTTGAAACCCAAGAGGAGAGTAAATATAATAGTTTTAGTAACAATAAATCTAGCACAAAAACTTATGCATCAAATAATTCTAATAGCGATTTTTATACACTCTTTAAATTACAGACGCTTTTAAGAAGGTGATGAGTGCAGAGGAAGCGAAAATGTGAGTCCAAGAACTTGGCAATAAAAACCAGATTGTTGAACCGTTGACCAACTGAGTTTAATTTTAATGATTTGTAGGCTCACTCACTGTTTTGATATTCGTGATATCCTCATGATATCCTCATCTTACTTTCTTTTCAGTTGGATATTCATTTCAAAAAACGTACTCCATATATTACTAATTTTTAACTTTTCAAAATGCATGTTAAAGTAACTGTTTCGTAAACTTTAATTAGTAATTCTAATTTTAATTAAAGACTTTGCAGCACCATTTGTGTTTTATCATTACTGCCTTGTTAGTAATTTGTTAGTCTGTCAAGTAATTAAAAACGAGAAATTTCGATAACTGGAAAGGTCAATTTATTTGAATCGAATCATTATCTAAGTGGGCAATACGGGATTGGGTATGTATGTATGTAGGGAGTGAACCGGCGCTGAGGAAAAGCCCAGTAAATTCATACACATCGGCCGATTATCGCAGAAGTATACTGCGCATAATCATTTCCATCATCAAGCAGACATATATTAGAATTTTCACCACACCACACCAATACAGTAAATCAATTGTAGTGGTAATTGTCCTATGATTAGGACAGCTGTATTACAAAAGGTGAGAGGTGTATGAAATCTGTTGTCGACATTGAATGAAATCGAACTAGTCGTGTAAACGTAACGATTCTCGAATAAACACTGACCGTGAATTACTATGAAAATCTTAGATAACTAAAATAATGGATTCAACGAACACTGTGAAACACACAGCAAACGCTTGATCACTGAATAGGTAAACGGATGTTTGAAGGACACAGAACATAACAAACTATGAAATCCTAACTGCATATCAGATCAAAGAGGTTACATTTACGAATCACACAATGCTCAGTTGACCATGGTACCTTGGTACCATGGTACCATACATAGACAAACTGGGGTATTGATGCGCATTTGTAATAAAATGCGCGAGCATGTACATATAGTTTTATGGTGACTTTCACTCCTGCATAAAGAGATGCAAGTCGGTAGACAGCTGTGAATAAAGAAGGTTTCATTTCTCCAAAATGTTCAGGTGTCCGTTGACTAAAATAGCAATGAGCTGACTTTGTGACAGACCACTTTTCATTATGACAACCTTTAATACCCAATAGAATATGACATGTTCTTTTTTGAGTACCCCAGGAGAGAATAATGGACGGCAATAAAGAAAAATAAATAAGATGCAACAGTTAACGAAGTAAAGTAAAAGTGAGGGTTGAAGGATTCTTTATCGTCATAGTTCCTTAATGTTTAAAGTTGATAGGCGGAACATTTTCTAAGAAATCGACATGATATGAGACGATCAAGAAGTGTCAAAGGATAGATCTATTCCAGGGCATTTTATTTTTGATGTGGTTTCTGTTTCTCTGCCCTATATGCGATGCTAACAGCATCTTGTGAACAAACAATTTTGTGTCTATCATGTTTATTCGTTGACGTGAAGTTAACCCTCTGATATTTGGAGTAATCGAACGTAAGACCACTAACTTGTGTCTGACAAAAATGCACTAATATCCAAATGTTAGTTCGTAGGGATTTCATTGGTTTCAGTATTTTATTCATGAGCTGACATTAGTTAGAGAACTATTGGAAAACCTGAGAGTACTGGACAGCTGTTTCGTCCTAGTTTGGGACTCTTCATCAGTACGCACCCACCGGGATTCGAGCCCAGGACCTTCTCATTACTAGGCGAGCTCGTATACCATTAAGCCACTGGGACCCGATCCAATGGCCCATGAATTCTAACTTCTGCCAATTCACGACATAGCGCGATCGCTAGCCAATGTCTTCGGCGAGTATTTGTCTCCACACCCGACCTGCTGCACCCTACTGGTCACGACTTCTCGCTAGAACACCAGGTAACTACCTAACTGGATAGGGCAAGTCGCTAAAGAGCATTGAGTTTGAAACAGTCACATGGAAACGTGGCTGGTGATGAGCCAGTTGTATCATTGGCGTACTTAGAAAAGTCGACTTCTTCCAAAAGAGGCAAGATATGCGAGAAAAGAGAAAAAATAAGATGAGATAAATCACCTCATTGTAGGACCCTGCCTTCATTTAGTGAAGCAGAGGAAGGTTTATGTTTATTTATAGTGTTCTGCATCCAGAGAAATCTTATTTAATAAGCGTTATCCAGGTGAAAGTTCAAAGGGGTGTGTGTAGTCCAGGAAGGTACATCGAGCATATTTGACTTCTTTGCCTAATGAGGAAACCATGTTATGCTGTAAAACGGCAGCATCTAAACAACTTCTGTCCACTTTAAATGATAATTGTTTAAGGTCATTAAAACTTTGCACAGAAGGTCAATGTTTGAGTGAGTATAATTTTTCCATCAATTTAAAAGGAGGAGAGATAATTGCAATACGTTTAAATTTAACATTCGTACACGTTAGCGATGTAAGCATCGGTAAAATTTAAGTTTGTTTTATACAGAATTTCGTGTTCACATGAATCATACATCTGCAACATTCCTTAATGAATTAAATCTTCGAAAAGTAAAAACATATAAATCAGGGGAATCCCTCATTACAAAAATTAAAGAAGCGTTCACTAATCCGAAAACGTTAGATCATATATTTGATATATGTCAGTTAGGATGAATGGTACAGCTATGACTACGTTTACCTTGTGATAACTACTCTCCATCAAAATGAATCTATTTATTTGCTCGCCGTCTTCTGCTCCTCAACGTGCTTTCCGAGTGCAACATAGAAGCAGTTTAGTAGACAGCATGTCCCTACCATTGAAGCGTTAATTCACTAGGTTGGATGTTTGAGATCTTGTTAGTACGTTAAAGAACACGAGCTATAGATATTTATTGATATTCTCTTCTGAATACATACGAAATGATGTCGGGATGTAAATGACGATACCTGGATAACATTCCCAACGTATGAATCGATTCGGGTGTCGAATGATGCGAGGAAATAGTGGTACTGAATATTCTCATTGTCTCTGTGGTATAATGCTTCCTCTTTTCACAGCTTTGAAGCGCCAAAATTTAGTGGATAACATCAGTAGTTAGAAATGTAATTACCTTCATGTATTTTCATGCATCAGTTTACTTTTATTTGCTTCTGTCATTTTGGTTGTAAGTGGCACTACACTTTCAACTTCGCAACTGAGATATTGCAAGTTATACTGATCCATAATGTCTAGATGTTATCAAGTGAATGAGTAAATTACGAATCACACCAAATCATACAGATGAGGAGATTTATAGATTCCAGTGTCTGGCAAAATTCAGAACACTATAACCACGAAAATAGGTCAGACGTATAAACGTTAACTAATCGTTAACTTCAATCCTCGTCAGATATTACATGAAGCCAAAGATAACTTAGCAACTGATCGAAAGTTTACATGTTTCTCGTCTGCATTTTCTCAGACATCACAGATTTTGCATCGATTTAAGGGATGTTTACTTACCATCTTCTCCGCATATCAAGTATAGTACTGATAAAATGCAATTAACAAAATACGATGAGTGAAATTTTAAGCAAAGTATTTTCTACGATAACCATGAGTAGTCGACAGTTCATTATTATTTATCCAGTGTACTTTAACTTGAATAGAATTATTCAGACTTTTGTGGTGGATGAACATAAACATGAGGATTGCTGAAAATATAAGGTCAATTAGCTCAAGATAACTGTCATATCGCAGTCGGAAATGAATAGAACTCACTGTTAACTTTCCATTCCACTATCTCTTATTGAAAACTAGCTTGCTGCATATGCCACAATTAGCTGCACTAAAAGGAGCAGTCTACTTTATAAGCTTTTATTCATAATGCTACAAACCGAGGGTTAGTAAGTTTCATGTTTCACTATTCTTCATGTTCCGAAATGTCGGACATCTTTCAGAACGCACTGAAACGTGGGTCCTGACGGTGTACCTGCTGTATTTCTTGGCAGATACGCTGACAATTAATCTAACCCTGTAAACAAACACATTCGATGTTTCCTTTTCCTGTTACGTTTTACCTGCAGCATGGGAACTCATTAAAATTACTCTAGAACCCATATCATGTGATATTAAGACCTAAAGAAATTACTTCTCCATTGAAATTAATGAAGAAAATTTATTAACTCAAACATGAAAAGTTTCGACCACCTCAAATGGTTTGCCAATAAACAGGGTAGAAGTTATTTAGTCGCTGCTTCTCTACTTCAGTATGACATTGTTTCCTCGTTAGATAGGGCAGACGAACATAACCCTTGTAATTTCCCTGGCTAGACATTTGCTTTTGACTCAGTACTTAGATGCTTTTTGTTGTATAAACTTTCACTAACAAAAAGTCCCAATCTGTTAAGTGGATGCGTTCTTACTACTCTAAATGGATGAAGTTTACGTGTACAATGGTTAATCTTCCTCTTTCTAGTTTATCAAATATGGAGTCCCACAGGGTGCTGTTTTCTGCCCTTTTCCGTCTTCATTCTTCTCACTTGACTAACCTCCTCCAGATGAAATAGTGTTAATTAAATAGCAGAAGATCTGATTGTCTGCAGATCTGATGCTTCCACACATTTTAACCTCGAACCGCGGTTGGCCTCATCTATGCGCATCTACCAATTCACCTGCTCGTGCGAAATAAAATGAATGGTTCATGTTTTGACCAGTTCTTCAAGATGTGTGATTCAGTACGTAGATAACATATGCAAAATAGTATGCACCTAAATGAACTCTCAAGTTTTCAATAAAATCTGAGTGATTCGAGCGAGGAAGCATCGAGAGTAATGCACTGGTAAAAGATCCATGCTTTGTCTGCTAAATATATCTAAATAATTAAAAGTAGAATGAAATGCGTGAAGTGAGGGTTAGAATATTTTCGAAGCCTTTCAGCTCACAATTAGGAACTTTAATTGCAAAAGTGATAAAGACATTGCGTGAAATAAGCCTAGTGTTGCATATTAGATATTTTGTTCAATAAAGCAC